CAAGCTCTTCTTTCTCAGCAGATTTATAGGAAACATGATTTAATGTATATATTTTTTCCCTCAGAATGTTTTAGATGTCATGAAATCCTACTGCTGATTATCGAGACTGTGTGTATCTGCCCCTTCCTGACCATCCATTTATATTAGTCTAATTCATTAGACAGAGGCATTGAATGGTCAATATTCCTTGGTTAAAGTGTATTTAGAAACAGTCCCCATGGAAAAGGAAAAAACCATTGTTTTCATTATTCTTATTTCATTTTTGCAATATAAAGTGATTTTAAGGTTGGAGGAATGAAGGTTACTTTTTAAAAGTTCTGTGCATAGCTTTTGCTAATAATTTTCTTACCCTCTTTCCTTTCCACCTTTATTCCCAAAATAAAGGTGGCTATGTCTGTATCAGGAGTAATGTCTTGACTCCCTTAGACCTTCTCTGATATACATATCAGACCTGGGATGAATTCAAGCTTGTGTTAGTTTTAACAGGCAAAACTGGCATTGTTCAGAAGGCACTTGACATAAATGGAAAGTCTCTGGGCACTGCTTTCATTGCTCTGCTTACTTCTGATTTGCTTTTGGAGCCATGTGTGGCCCTAGAAGGCTGTCCTCAAGAGGAGCAGCATTCTGAGACAGTCATGGCCTAATTTGAATTTGGGGCAGTGGGTTTCAATAGGTATTTTGGCATATACTGAGGAGCCTTCAAGTTACTTCAGAGGTTGCTCGTAAAATGAGACTACAAGATAGGAAGTGCTATGCAGATGGCAGATTCTACTGCTAGCAGAAATCTTGTCCAGTGAAACGTGCAGATGTATCTTCTCTGACTTGCAGGAGGTGACTCTAAGAAACTATTTCTTGAAACTTATATATTTGAGTTGTAGAACCAGGTTTTTTTGTCCAAGGCTTTTTGCTTGCCTTCCTTTTTAGTGGTATGTTTTAAGGTAGGATCCCAAACATGTAGAAATATAAAAAAAAGCTTCACTGAACACATTGATGACAGGTCAGACCAGAACTGATGATAGCATCTTCTCCTTTACCAGGCAGATTTAGCAGTTGGGAAGAAGTGCATCATCTGTCCTGCAAACTGCACTGAAGCCTCTGTTGGTTTCATTAAAACACAACAATTCATAGGTTATGAGGCCAGAAAGAGCCATTTTGATAATCTAGGCTGATTTACTGTATAATTAATTCCTGTCTCACTATGTCTTTTAGAGAAAACAAGATACTGTTTTAATTTAAAATTTGCCAGCAGCAGAGAACACACTATAACCTGTAGTAAATTATTTCAGTAGCAAATTACTCTCATGTAAAAATGAGTCATAATATTTTAAAATGTGAATTTCTCTAACTTCACTGTCTAGCCCCCAGATTTCATTGTCCCTTTGTCACATGCATTGAAGACCCCTCTCTTGCCAAATTCCATTTTCTGCACAGGTACTTGTAGATTGCAATCAAATCACATTTTAACCTCTGCCTGTTAAACAGACTGAATTTGAATGTTCTCCACTATGGGACATGCATACCAGTCATTTAATTTTATTCCCTCCTTAATCTTGAACCTTTGGTTTGACAATTGAACTGTTATTATCAGAAGCTGCTGTAGCATTTCTCCATTCCTGCCAAGGATTCACATTGATTTTACACCCAACCATTATTTCTATTCTTTTATTGTTATGAGAGTTCTGGTGCATTTGATTATACATCATGATGTTGATGTCCAAATATGTCTGTCAATAATATTTCAAGTCACCTATAGAAACACTTGCACTTCTTCCATAAAGGAGCTTTTTTTTAGATTTCTCAAGCTAGGTATTTTGTTCTGTTTTTTTTTTTTTTTTTTAAGAAAATAATTTAGAGCCACTTTTGAATAACAGAGATTCAGATTGGGGTGGATATGTTTATTTGTAAAGACTGAATTCAGAACTCTTGTATCTATTGAGCAGCCTTCCTTATTTCCTCCCCAAGTCTTCGTTTTTACTTGCTTTCTTCGTCTCTTCATCCTTGGCCACAGATTCTTCATTGTTAGTCACTTTCTTGATTACAACTAACTTTATGTAATTTTTTTCTGGTTTTTTGAAAGCATTCTGTCACAAGGATTCTCCAGCTGTGGTACTTGTATGATTAATGAAACACAAAGCAGTCAGCATCACACCTCAGATAAACTCAGAGGCAAACCCTCTGCATTTCCCCGGAAAAGATGAGACCTATTACTCAAGTATCAAATACATCAAAGAGGGAGTATATACACATACAGTAACTTGCATGTGGCTCAGCTATGTGTGGGAGCTGCTTGTGTGCATATGATATTCTCCCTACCAGCACCCCACAAAGATTGCTGAAAACAGCTCAGAGTTATGGCTAGATACAACCCAGCACTACCCATCAATCAGTGTCTGCTCCTCTCATGTATGGGAAGACTGGGTCAAGATGCTGTTTAGAGGAGTGTTGGTTTGACCAGTTGTTAGCAGTATCTTACAAGGGCAGCTCTCCTTCCTTAGAATCATTAAAGCCACAGCTTGTTCAGGCCTGGCATTCTCTTGCCCACCAAAGCAACTCCATGCTGTGGGGGAACCAAAATGCAACAGTGCACCAGAATTGTAAGCCCTCATGGGCCTGGAGAATGGTCAATTCATGCACCCAGGGTGGTGTCTTCAATAGTGGAGGGTGCAGGTGGTGTTTAGGTAGAGCACAGGACTATGGTTGCTGTCAGTGGTGCATCCCCTGACGTTCCTGCACGACCCACTGTTGTTGGTTTTCAATTGCTAGAAGATGCACTCCTTCCTTTTTCCTTCAGTATCAGTTTGTGGATTTGCTGTCCATTGTTACTTCTGGTTCTTTTTGTGTCTTCTGTTGTGCCCTACTTCCATGACCTCCCCTGGCAGCAAGTACCAGAAGTTCACTACCCTCTGTGTAAATAAGTACTTCTAAAAATCCATTTTATGCTGATTTCATACAAGTTTTAGCAAGTGCCTCTAACTCTATTATTACTGGGTTTGGCAAAGAGCAGTTCCACATTAACCTTCTCCATCTTCTGTAAACTTCAATCATATTTTTCTCAGTCCTCTCCAAATATGAGCTTGGCCTTTTCAGCCTATCCTCATAAAGCATCCTGTTCCATCCTTTTAGATGCTCTATTTATTTCCTCTTTCTCCTTGAGAAGCAGAGTCAGGACTTCATGCAGTGCTCAGAACTGAAGTCTGACTGAGGTGCACCTCATTGTCTGGGAAGAGAGGAGGCTCTAATGCACCCCCTTGCTGTGTCAGTGGAAGGAGGTGTATGGTCTCTCTAATGAGAGCATTTGACATGATTAATCTGTAGAATAAAACTACTACAGTCCCATAAATTGAAAATGAATTTTATCCCTGTTGCAGATATTAATAGCCTTGATGTTTCTGATGCCTGTGTGAGGGCAGAGCACGTTATTAGGAATTGGACCCAGTTACTGTGGGTCAATACTGTCCTCTGCTGGGAAGATCTAGAGCTTTGTGCCATTCTCCAAATGGGATTTAACAGCTGGCTTCACCTTTCACTCAGCATTTTGCCTTTGCGACAGGAAAATCTGACTGCACTTGGGAAATTCTCCTTTAATGCTTAGAGAATGCTGGAATTTCTGCCAGCTATGAATGTATCGAATCACGATTTAATTTATTTTTTTTAATCTAGAAGTGACCTAATTTATAAGCTTATCCCTCATTCTTTCTCTCATTTGCCTTTTAATATTTACTGCATACGCATTTCTCTGACTTTCCCGTCCTAATAGTAGAAGAAGTAACAATGAATATCTCCTTTCCCTTCTATTTCCACAACAAACTGCTGACAACTCATCCTGATAAGATTTTGAAAGCAGAAATCAAATATGTATATATATATGCTATATGTGACAGACACAAAGTATTTTAGAATAATAACTCTTTAGAAGAAATTAGAGTCTTCAGTAGTATCACTGAACAAGAATTCAATAAAAATTGTGCTAGTAGCAGAAGCAGTTTTACTTGCTGTACATGCCAGCTCTGCATTTAGCAAGTGTGGAAGGTGATTGAGAGGAAGTACAGTTTACAAGTGTTTCAATTTTGTGCCTTCTCCAGCTTCTGCCTCTGTGAGGATGACATGGGTCAGAGAAGAGTTTGCTTTCCAGGAATTCATCCTGAACGTGCGAGAAAGAGTAGAGTAGGAGGTCTGGACTCCTGAGTAAGCGAGGCATGCTCAGGAGTGCTTGTCTGTTTTGAGACTCTTCTCTTGGCTAATTTCAATCCATGTAGCAGGAATAGACCCCAGAGTTCTGGTCCTTAAGTCAGAGAATATGAAAGTCCAGGCACTGAAAATGTACAGGTTTTTATGTGTTAGCACAAAAAATTGTTGGTTTCTTGGAAGTAAGGGTAAGCTGTAGAGATATTTCCATGGCAAGCTTGTGTCAGTAGTGATCTAAAATTTCTTGCTCAGAGAAATTTTAAGTCTTTGTTATCTTTTTTTCAGGACGCACAGGGCAATCACTAACAGTTCACAGCAACTTGCTGAAATTCTTTTGCATCTCTCTCCTGGTAGTTAAGAAGGCTATAGGAATAATAGAGAAATGGCAGTGGTACTGAGTTCCCTGCTGTGGCTAGTAGAGCTGGACATGGAGGTTATACTTTGTTATGTATTTTGTATGGGATTTATGCAAATATAACAGCATGATACCAAACACACACTGGATTTTATGTACAGAAGCTTTTACAGCCGAGTGGGCCTGTGGTAGAGTTAATTGTTCTCACTGCCCTTCAGTTAAATATTGTCTTCTGACTGCTTATCTGATCTAAAGTCGTTGCAAAGTACCCATTGCTGTCATTTCTATTCACTCTTCTGGTTCAACTTGCTCCCTCTGTCAGGATGTCAGACTCTTGCACTCTCTCCTTTCCTCTCCCCACTGCCTTTTGGGAAAAGTTTATCTCCCATGGCTGAAAGTAATTGGGGTGTTTGTATTGTATGCAGGATTGATGTATGATACTTTTCCTTGTGTCTGGCAGGTTGTTTATAAGAATAATGACATTCGTCTGGAGCTGTCTCGCTTGGCACGGATTGGTGATACTAAGATGAAGATCTATGGGGAAGTGAAATTCATATGTGAAAATGTGGCTACGCTGGACCCCATCAGCTTTGAGACACCTGAGGCCTATATTAGTCTGCCTAAATGGAATACCAAGAGGATGGGCTCCATCTCATTTGATTTCCGAACCACTGAACCCAATGGACTGATCCTTTTCACCCACGGCAAGCCTCAGGAGAGGAAAGATACCAGAAGCCAGAAAAATACAAAGGTAGACTTTTTTGCAGTTGAGCTTCTAGATGGAAACCTCTACTTGCTGCTGGACATGGGCTCTGGGACCATTAAAGTGAAGGCCACCCAGAAGAAAGCCAATGATGGAGAATGGTATCATGTGGATATTCAACGAGATGGAAGATCAGGTAGAGTTATAACTTTTTCTTTAATCGATTCATATTTCAGATTCAGACCTTGGGCTATATATTAATTCTCAGAACATTCAAAACCTGTTAAATATGAGCCACCTCCTTAAGAAAGCATAGTGTTATTCCAGTGGTATTTATCCAGCAAGGCAAAGATGTGAATGGTTTTTGTTAAATGTTTTCATTAAATGTGTAGGGAGAATTTTGAATAGCACATCACAGAGGTTATCGATTAATATTTTATTCACAATCCTCAGATATTCTGGACATATATTCGCAATTGCATGCATAGTTAGGGTGATGATTTCTTGGTGGGCCATGGTAAGGTTTAAGGTCCTTCAGTACCATTGTTCTCAGTTTGAGAACTTCTTCCTGATCTACCTTGGGATTCAGCATTTGGGATCTTGTTAAGAGAAAAATAAGAGAAATGGGCACAATCAGTAACAAAATTATGGCAACAGATGAACATTTTCATCCCGTTCTGTTTCCCTTAGTATCCTGTAGTTTTAAGCTAGGTTTCATTACTCTTTTGAATAACAGATTCTAATTTTAAAATCTGAGGCAGCATTCAGTGGATGTTTCTTTCTTTCTTCACAGCTTCTCATTTTCAAATATGGGGTTTAGTATTCTAAAAATACATTTACCATGCAATTGCCAAGAGATATTTTTATTGTTTCCAGTGCTGAATATCAAGCTAACATTTTCATGATCTACTCTGAAATTGTGGAGGAAAAAAAAAGCTCTGTTACTGTAGCTTCATCTAGAGAATAACAATTGTACTTCAATTTTTTCTGAACAGTTGGTATCTCAAAGCCTTCACTTCAAAAGGAATTTTGCTTACATTTGCCAGTGGATTTGGGATTTGTCTGGTGATCTCCAGATGATAGTTTTAGGTCCCTAATTTTATGTTTCCAATTGCTGAACACCATCAGTACAGGGAATGCAGTGCTAGAATTTGCTTCCCTTGAGTTTTTAGAAGAGCTGACTTTGAGATACCATGCAAGGCCTAGCTGTTTGAACAGGTTTTTGCCTGAAGCTATTTTTTCCTTTGATGATGTGAGTAGTTTCTTTGTATTTGGCATGGTGCTCTGCTTGGACTTAATATGTGTGGTTCTATGTTGCTATCTCCTAAAGACATCGATAGGAGCATTTTACAAAGGAAGCCATAAATAAATAAATGGAGCTTTGATTTCTTTAGAATTGCTAAAATTTAATTAACTTCCAGGGGTAAACTCAATTAGCTGTGTTGCATACTAACTTCAGTTTTGCTTGCTCCCTTGAGGACTGTGTCATCCCTGAAGAAGCAGCTGCAGAGGGAGAAGAGACAGAAATGACAGAGGCTCTGTGCAAAGAATGTTTGTAAAGCCCTTCCAAGAAGGACACGTGTTAATTTGGACACATTCACAGGAGGGTGTGGCAGACACATTGCTACTTGATGGATGACACTGTAGGGTTGACTTGTTTTCACTTGGCAGGGAGGTTTATGATATTCTGGACACTGATTAGAGGTAACAGATTTTGAAACAGTTCGCTCAACAAGAAAAAATGTGTTTGTGTGATGTCTTGTTCTTTTTTTTTCTTTTGTTTTTTCTTTTTATTTTGTTGTGTTCTCTGCTCACAATGAGTACTTAATTAATGATCCCAATGACTAATGTCTTGTGTCCTGAGAAATGCCAGGGTACTGGCATTATTTTCTTCACATACTTTCAGTCACTATTATCCAATGACACTTTGGATAAGTGTGAGAAAAGAGTTCAAGACCTCTTCTTGTTAAGTCCTTGGATTTTCTTCCACATGTGGACCGGATAATGGTTACACCTTGAAGATTTTCTCCTCCCTGTATAGATGACTACAATTTGGAAACTGAAAAATTAATTTACTTAAGCGGGGCTAAAAACACCCTTTTGAGTTTAATGAGTGAGTAACTTGCAAGCTCTGATTCTCATTACTAAAGCAGCAAGGCCTATGTTAGGGGTCATCTCTCTCTGTTTTATTCCCATTTCTATAACAGTCCAAAACTTCAGGTTCTGCTGATCTAAAATAGCTTAAAAATCCAAATTTTCACTATTACAGTGCACTAAAGCAGGGAAGCTTGGCAGTCATGCTCAGATAACCTCTGGCATCTCTAGTCCCCTTAGGCCTTGTGTATACTTCAGTCTGTGTTAGCTGCCAGAGCAGCAAAACCTGGTTTTATCTTTGTACTCTGACAGAAGCTGGCAGCATGGACATGGACACCTAACCTTTCTGTCCTTTCTTAAAGGTCCTGTAACCTTTCTGTCCTTTCAGAAAGCTCCCAGCAGGTTCACAAAACCTGTCACAGTTTCTAGCTGGGGAACGGTGAGCATTTTATGCAGCATGATGTTTTTAGCTAGTCATCAGCTACAAGACATACATGACTTGCCACCTGACTAGGCACTAAAAATCTTACTAGATGGTTTGATTTACAGTTGTGTCAGTGCACTGCTTGGTGTGCCTGTTCTGCCCTCAGGGGGTGTTTTGGTCTGTTCTTCAGTCCAGCACCAAGAGGAGACGGCACTGCAGAGGAGATGCTTAGATGCTTCTGGTTTCTCAAGATGGACTTGGATCTACTCTAAGCAGAGTGAAAAACAGGGGATTCTAGAGGGGGGAAAAAAAAGGATGGAAGTCCTCCTTTCTAGGATCAGTACAGGATTTCTCCATCTCAGCAGCTTGATCTTAAACGCACTGTTCATCCAAACTACTGCCATCTCCTTGCAGGAGTTATTGCAGGGTACAAAACACTCAGAAATTTAGGTTGCTCTCTAGCCTATTTCTTGTTCACCATCTCACCATCTTTCTCCAGGTTTTGCGCGCCATTATTATCCATTATTTCTTGTCTTTTGGGGGTTTCTTTATCTTTGTGGGATTTGCACATGTTCGTTCTCTCCACAGTAGAATCTGTCTAGAGCTCAGCCCTCTGGTGTTTTGGTTCTAAGCTTTAGAGTAATATGTACTCTACAGGCTGCTTTTGGCAAATAGCAGTGGAGATTATGAAAAGAGAGTTGTGTTCCCGTGGCTCCATGACATGCTGCTTGTGTGACAGTATGTGTATTGTCACATTTTCTCTTTCCTTATTTTATAAAAGAGAAAATGCCTGTGGTGCTCCAGCTTGTTGATACAAAATGATTCATCAAATAACTGTGGTTCTCTTTGAGCCATTAATTTGTAATGCCTCTGTTGCTTCTGACACTGCTGCCTCCGATATTATTCCTCAATTATTGTGGAAAATCACACAGATGGAATATCTTGTGTCTGTGTCACATACGCAGTTCTCTAAGAAGATACCTCTTACAACTGAAGAAAAGGTGTATGTACATAACTGTACTTTCTTACAGAGACAATAGAGTTAACTCTATTAACTCTCCTTCCTTATTGTAGGGGTGTCTGATAAAAATCCAATGATGTGGAATTAATCTTAAAGCTTGGATAGTGTCTCTGAAGACAGACTGTCTTAATGACAAGGCAATTCGATGTGATGATTTATAGCTAGGGAGAGCAAATTGCTGATTTTTAGATGAGTGTCTGGTGGGCAGATATCCCTATCACAGAAACTGCTGAATGCTCTTCAGAAGAGTACACTGTTCTGGAACGTGAGAGATGTGCATTATGTTCCCTGTTTTTCTTTGGATGCACTGTCTGACCTTAAACAAGTCACTTTGCTTTTCTGTACCTGTTTTAAATATTCTGATTATATTTCTGTATTATATGTTCTGATTTTTTTGTGTGCTGGGGCAATTTCTTGAAATATATGAGAATGCCCTCAATGCAGTATGCCCACATTTGATTTGGAGCATATGGAAATTATCACAGTTTTAATAATAACTGTTGTTCACATATAAGTTTGTCTCTCTCTTTCTCAATTTTCCTGTATAAAATGGAAACTAGAAAACTTTCTTTGTAAAGCTATACAATATTTTATTTTGTGACAAACTTCTGGAGATTTCTATTTCAGTTTAGACTTTCTTCAGGATCGTGTACAGTTGAGCTTTGAATGCCTTCCGTCTGGTAAACCTCTCTGAGATTCTCTTTCTGTGTTTGACCATTTTCTGTGGAGTTGGAGATTCCCTTATGTTGTGGCTTAAGAAAGGTACTCTTCCATTCAGTGGTCCTGTTGAGACTCTGCAAATCACATTGCTCACTTGCTTCCCCTGGCCATGCCTCTCCCAGCTACTGCAAAGAATTCCCTCTGTTCTGGCTGGAACCAGGACACCCTACTGCAGCTCATGTCTCTTGCCACTACAAGTTCACACTGCTAATTCTTGTTCAAGGTTCTGTTTGTCTGCCATATCTCCCAGTCCTTTTCTGCACAGTTGCTCCTTAGCCAGCTGGTCATTAGCCTCTACTTATGTGTGAGACTTTTGTGATTCTAGTCTTGTAGGACTTTGTATTTATTGGTTTTGATTTACAACAAACATTGTTATCAGTCCTGTGCTCCACCTTGCAGTGGTTTCTCTAAATGGTAACCCAATGCTTCCTCCAATGCATTAGCCATTCTCTCCATGTCATTTACAAACGTGTCTATGTTGGTCCAGGTTTGGAGGGATTGGTGAAGTGTTTTCTGAAAGAGCTGTATAGTGGGGTTTTTTGCATATCTTTTTTCTCTCCAGTCTTTATGCCATCGAACTCCTGTGTGTTCTCAATAAGTTTTTGCTTTGCTGGATTAATACCATTGAATGATGCTCAAATTTTAAATGCTCTTATTTATCTATTGAATTATTATGCTGCTGACTTTCTAATGCAAATTGGATATAGACTCGTGATCAGTTGCTGCACAGAAGTACTTAGGACCTGTGGATCAGGAGGAGAGGGAGCTGTGAGAAAGACACTGTTAAAATGCCATTTGGGTAGGAAAGAATCTTCACTCTTCTGTGCTGAACTTTAAACCTCACTCTGTTATTGGGAAAAAATGAACTGAACTGAGTCTGTAATTGAAAGTGTTGATGTCTCCTTATCTTCCTCTTTTAGGTACCATATCAGTGAACAGCCGACGCACGCCATTCACCGCTAGCGGGGAGAGTGAGATCCTGGATCTGGAAGGTGATATGTACCTGGGTGGGCTGCCAGAGAACCGGGCAGGACTCATCCTTCCCACAGAGCTCTGGACAGCAATGCTGAACTATGGCTACGTGGGCTGTATCCGAGACTTGTTCATTGATGGCCGAAGCAAGAACATCCGGCAGCTGGCAGAGGCGCAGAATGCCGCCGGGGTCAAGTCCTCCTGCTCCCGCCTCAGCACCAAGCAGTGTGACAGCTACCCCTGCAAGAACAATGCAGTCTGCAAGGATGGCTGGAACCGCTTCATTTGTGACTGCACTGGCACTGGCTACTGGGGTAGAACATGTGAGCGAGGTAAGTTGCGTGTTCTGACTTCAGGTACGCAAAGCTGAAGGTGTGTGTGACAACAAGAACAAAATCCAGTGTTCCCATAACACTCTCCCCTGCCCTTGTTGGTCTTCCTAATGGTAAGTTCCAGTCCCCACAGTTGAAAAACTTTCTTCTCTGATTTGTTTCCTTCCAGTCTTTTTCACCCTCATTTCATGAACTTACTTGGCCACTTTCCTCCCTAAGCCTTCTGAAGATCCTGTCTTCAGGTTCCACAGTTTCTTTAGCTAAGTATGGTTTGTCTCCTGAGGTGGAAAATGCAACTGCATGTGAGAAGTCTCAAACAAATTACTGGAAACTGTACCAAGTGTGAAATCTAGTTATGAAGCTCTTTCCTGCATGAGATGAATCCCAGTTCTATGTGGGCTTCCTTTTTTTTTTGGTCTAGTACAATTTTCCTTGATGGCTGTTTATGAGTAAAGCCAGCTAATGGGATAGTGTTACAAGTAGTGTGTCTCCAAGTTCATCTCTGGTAAGGCAAATCTGGAAGAGATTCATTGGAGAGTCTCTGTGTCTTGTTGATACTCTTACAGATTGTGATTTAAAGACAGATGATTTGGAGATATGAGGCCCAGGTGATGCTCGTGTAGGCAGGCACATTTTCTACGTGTTATAGATCACATGCAAAGGATTTACCAATGGAAGATACTTGAATTATGTATTTCTCAAGTACATAGGGGGTTCCATTAATTGTTGTTATCTTTATTATGTTGCTGCCACCATCAGAAAGAAGTAGATGAGTGGTTTTACAGAAAAAGATGGGGCTGAGATCAGTTCCAAAGCACTCCCACCTCCCTAGAAAGTGTTTTCTTATATATTATTTTTATATTTCTGTTAATACTTGGCCCATTAGCATTGCATTTAGGCTAAACTGCATTCACAGTACACCCAAGAAATAACAGTAAGCCATTAACAGTCTTAGGCCTTTCAGACCCTTCTTTATATCACCTCACTTGGCACCATGGTGATAGCATGTGTCTTAGAACTCAAAATTCAGATATTTTTGAACTTGTGCTATAAATATTTGAGCAACACCTTTCCCATTTAGTGCATTTTTAAATATTAATCATAGTAACATGCCACTTATGAGGAAAAACATGAAATTTTGCTACAATGCATAAAATATTAGGCATAATTGAGGTTTGGAATTTATTCACTCTACAGAGGATTTTCTTCACTGCAGAAATTTTTTGTCAATGACCAAAATTCTTCCTATATGGATAGGATTTTCAGGTTTTCAAGTACAAGATCCGTGACTGTTTATAAAACTGCTCACCACCAGTAATTCATTGCATGCTGCCCTAAGCAGCAATAGTAGTTAATTGCCAGTGGGCCTTAAAACAGCTGAAGCATCAACACTGCCATCCATGCTGGGAAGATGTGAGATTGGATGAAAATGTAAGATTCATGGGCATCAGCTATGCCAATGTCAGCTCAGCCATTCTCTCTTTTGAATACATAGGATTTGAAAATTCTGGGAAACTTCAGATAGAAGTTTTCTCGGCCCTAGCCTTGGGAATTGTTTTCGCCAGTTGTTGTATGACTAGGTTTTATACAAACATGATAAAAGGAAGCCTTACCATAAATGTATCGTTCCCCAGAAATTGCATGTGTTTGCCCTTGGTCTCTATTTAGTATTAGGAGTGACCAGCTCTGTGATTCAGGGCTTTGTGTAGTCTGTCTCATGTCCATCTCCTAGGCCTGGCTCTCAGAAGAGAATCCAAAGCTAACAGTGACATAAAGAACAGGGTTCATGTCATGAACCTTTATATAGTGATGTTGTTAGCTTTTACTATTTTTATTGTCAGTGAAAATAAATCAGTAGGTTAAAGGCATGTAAGCATTTTAATTTGGGAGAAATGAATATCAAGTCAGGCCTGAGATCCGTAACTTGGCTGTGCTCTGGTGTGCATCAGTCTGAATTAGTGAGATACATTTATGAATTAATGTCTAGCACAGGAACTTGAGGTCATAATAAATATATTTTAGAATCTGAGTGTATTTAAAGTGAACAAAACTGTGATGAAACAGTTCAGGACAGTAAACAAGATGTATGCACATATTGTAATCCTGAGAAACTAATTTTGTCTGTAACTACAAACCACAGACCCATTGCTGCTTTTGTCCAGTGCCAGGCAAAACATGGCACTATAATCCCTGATGCTCCTTGGCAATGTAAGAAGGAGCTCACAGGGAATAAATATTTGAGACTGGGTAAGTGAAAAAAATTGTACAAGTTGAAGTACATTTGGGTCCAGAATATTTATGTGGTGTTACATAGGAGCTTCATGCTGCTCTGATATAAATGCTGAACGTCAACAACTGCCTTAGTGCCCACTGATTTTTGCCTCTGTAAACAAAAAGCATTGCAGGCTACCAGTGATGCTTTTCATTCTCCTGGTCTGACACCCAAGGATTACTTGAAGTCCTGATTACATCTGGTCTGTGATTCTAACACTGTTGGAAGGAGAAAGGTTGAGATGGAGCCTGGGAAGGGAATCAAAGTGAGGGATGCTGCCATGCCACAGTGCCACTGCTGTGTAATGACTGATGAGCTGCCACAGGACTGGGGGGCAGCTAGGCTGGTGCATAAGGGTAGGAATGAAGAAGGAGCAGGCTAGATCTTCTAATATGGGACACCTGCTGTGATTAGTTTGCCATCCCAAAGTGAGAGATGGCAAACTTTTCCAGTTTGCCATCCCTCACTTTGTTTTCTTACACTTCTGTCCTGCTAAAAGAGGAATGTAGCTCCTGCAGCCCAAGATGTATGATCAAGGGTTAAGGGGCAGGAGAGCCTAGAATGAAGAATCTCCTGTGCTTGGTGACTATCAGGAAAATCAGTTTTTATCACAAAGCAAAGCACATACTTAACATTAGTTAAAGTACTAAAAATAGGAAGGACATACGTACAACTCTTGGAAGAGAAGCAGATAATTAATTTGTTGTTGATGGTAAAGTCTATCTCCTACCTTCCAGGCATAGGATTTTTACATTTATAGTGCTGTATTTCTCATAAATTTTATACTTTGTGATATGAAGGACACTATACATTTAAAAGGGACTAAAAAGGACATTAATTGTGTCAGCTAGAAAAGAAGTCTGAGTTCCTTTTATTCATGGTGAAACAATACAAATACATAGTATTTAATATGTCACTTCTAGATAAAGCCTGTGGGGGTTTTCCTGTCAATGAAATAACACCTCTGTGTATTCAGCCAGTTACACTGGATGCAACATAGACTTTGGTTACAGGGGTCTGTTCAAGGCAGTGCTTTTGTGCAGATAGAGAAACATTACTGTAACTGGAGTTTGACAGGGAAGAAAACAGCTGTGAAGGCCTCAAATTCATTCTTACAATTCCAATATCTAGTCATTATTTTGGTATTTGCAGTGATGTAAGCAGTCAAAGGTGCTAGCGGTCTGAAAGAGCCATAGTTTCTAATACTAATGTAGTTTCTCCTTGGGTTATTGAAATTTCATGGAAGAGATGGGGCAAGACATGGAAAAGACCAGATTGTGCTTTCATGGGCCATAAGGGCTCAGTGCCAGGCTGTGAGGTGGAGCAAAGGCAGCAGCAAATGCTGGAAGTTATCTTGATATGGTCCCCATTTCACTTTCCACCAGAGACTGTGATGACCAGGTAACACACTGCTATTTTCTTAAATCCTTGCTTCTCATCCTCTGTCACCTTTCCATAAAGGTTCTCTACTAAGCAGTCTAACTCAGTGTCACTGTGTTGCAAATATAGTAAAGAAAGGCAAGGAAAAGAGAAGAAGCTTAGACAGGACACAATTCCCCTTGCAAGTGATGCTCTGACTGCTTTGCAATGTGGTAATGATCTCACCTCCCCTGCTCCCTGAGCTCTCTTGCACTGCTGTTAAATATGGTGAAGAGAAAGATTTAATCATGCTAGAAAGACTCCTAAACTTAATTTAGTTTTGGATAGCTCTTAAATGAATCACAGGCACAGTGAAGTGGATTTATGATGAAAGTTATAATTGCAAGTGCATGCTGAGACTTTTTACTGAGTTTGCTAGTTTTGGGTTGTGGTGTGCTGGGCATTAGGGGAAAAAAACCCCAAACCTTGGTGCTTGTACTGTTGGTAGAACTGAAACATTCTTGCATCCTAGAGCTTTAAAAAGAGTAGAGTACCAGAGAACAGTGTCTGCAGTACAGCCTCTCTCTTCTGAAGTACCTTGTTTGAACAGGTCTGCTGTTCTGCTGGTCAGTTTGAAAAAAAAGGGCCTAAAATATCTGAAATCCCATGGGAATGCTTCCCAAATGCTTTCTAATCATCAGATGCCAGGCTAACTTTGAGGTAATTGACAAAAAGATTCCTCCAATGTGATGGATGCCATGCTTCCTTCTGTTACATGTGAGCTGCCTGTCCAAACTGAGCCTAAGAAGGGTGAGGGTGAGTTGCAGGTCATGTCAGCAAGGGCTGGAGGACTGTTGCAGACACGCAGGAGGGTGGGAAGTGTGGATTTGTGCAGCAGTTGTGAAGGATCTTTGGTGGGTCTTTTTAAGTTCTTAATGTCTTCTTTACCCTTTGCCTTGTAATTTGTTAGTGTTTGACATCAGTTGCATCAGGTCATTGCAGCTCCCTGTTAATTGCACTTAAGATGTTAGAGGTAGGAGCTGGTATCTGGCTCAAGAAGGATGATGTACTACTTAGCTGGGATTTCAAAGTACCCTGGACTTCTCTGAAAAGGACCTCAAAGCCCTGGCATTAACTAAGCAGGAGAAGGGGAATGTGAGTTCCACTCAAATTAGCTGTTTTCTGCAGCTGCAATGAAAATGCTTTGGGCTCAAAAGGATGCATGAGGTCTGTTTGGTGGGTCTTGAAAACTCTCTGCACCCTTTCCTTCTACTGAAACACTGTGAGAGTGACTGCAGAAGACAAGAGCCCAGGAAGGACACTAAGCAAAAACAACTGAAAATCAGATCATTTTAGGCCAATACGAATC